ATTCTGCTGAATATACCATTTTGTTGCAAATTTACTTATGGGAATTCTTTAATAGTCTATTACAGAAAGTGCATGAGGGTCATCTTTAACCCTAGAAACGTGTATGTGTGGTTGACATGTGCTTCAATTCTTGTCTTTCTTGAACAAAAGTACACGTGCAAGGTTTTGTTTGAGCTGGGCTCTCAAACAGCTGGCTGTGGCGTGCCTGCCATAGGTTTGCCACCGCTGCACTAGGTTGTCCAGGCTGGCCTTGAACTCCTGGGCTCAGGTAACGCATGGCCCTGCCTCAGCCTCCTCATTAGCTGAGACTACAGCTCTCACCATCACGCCTGGCTGAAAGTACAAGTTTGTTTTTTCTTTTTTTCTTTAAATGTCCTACACTGCATAATGAGCTCCAGGGCTTCATGAACTACAGAGCCTGTCTCAAGAAAGAAAAAGTCATATAGTACTAATATATTTGTTCTGTATTATAAAGGTTAGCCATGAGATCTTCCCATTTTCTTTTTTGTATTTTGTGTAGGATCTCACTACACAGCTTGCCCTCCTAATGATCCTCCTGTTTTTAGCCTCCCCAGCGCTGGGGTTATAGGCATGCGCCACCGTGCCCAGACTCGGTTGCCCAGCTCAGTGCACCTCGTGGCAGGGCTGGTGCGGCATGTGGGGCCAGGAATCAAACCCGGCCCCCATGCTTCCCTAAGCAGGCGCTTAGGCTGCTGAACTATCCTGCTGGCCCTTCTTCCCCATTTTCTAAATGCCTGCTCTGCTCTTCATCTCAGCATTGGACTCTCCCATGGGGAACAGGGCCAGGATGGCCAGAGACTACTGTGTTGCTCTCAGCAGGCTTTCTCAGAGTGTCCTCTCCTGGTTCTTGTACATGACCGGCCGGGGGGACCTTCCTGAGTCTGCCTGGGACAGGGGCTCACTCTGCACCTTTTGAGCAGCTCTGCACACTGCAGACCGGAGAGGCAGGAGGAACCCACTCCAAAGAGGCCTCTCCATGGTCCCCGTGTTCCTTCCCTCAGCTTTTCCTCCTCCTGTTCCTTCACTCCAGTTTCTCCTCCTCCTGTTCCTTCCCTCAGCTTCTCCTGCTCCTGTTTCTTCCCTCAGCTCTCCT